TGAGTGCATTACTGAAACATCGCGTATTGAGTGTAAGTGCATCACTGAAACATCTTTTATTGAGTTTAAATAAGTGCATTACTGAAATATCTTTTATTTAAGATGAGTGCATTACTGAAACATCGCGTATTGAGCGTAAGTGTATTACTGAAATATCTTTTAATTAAGATGAGTGCATTACTGAAACATCTCGTATTGAGCGTAAGTGCATTACTGAAACATCTCTTATTGAGTTTAAGTGCATTACTGAAACATCTATTATTGAGTGTAAGTGCATTACTGAAATATCTTTTATTTAAGATGAGTGCATTACTGAAACATCTATTTCTGTGTATTGGGTTATTAATGAAACATCTTATTGAGAATGAGTGCATTTTGCATTACAAGAACATCTCTCCTGGATATGAGTGCATTACTCAAATATATCTTATTGAATATGAGTGTATTACTGAAACATCTCTGACTAAGTATGAGTGCATTACTGAAGTATCTTTTAATGAGTATAAGTGTATTACTTATTATTAAATGTGAGTGCATTGTTATAAAAAAAGACGGCAGAATCCAGACATTTCCAAATATTCAATGGATTGATTAATTTGAATTGTGAAATCCAGAATGGGTGTGTTCATTAGTAACATATAACAACAAAGAGTAAAAAATGAATCATAACATAGAACAAAAGAGAATGTTCAAAGACAAAAGACTGCATTGTTATTTTAAAGTCACGACTTCACGGTTGAAATTTAAATATTATACAAGAAAATAATACAAATAGATATGTAACTATTGATCTGCCACGTGATACCAACATTTCAAGGCAAACAGAATGCTTTGTATGGTTGCAAACTTCAATTTTTATACAAAACAGAGTAAATAGAATTATTGGGTTTTAGTCACTGTGATGCATCACGCCACTTTCACATTTCTAAAAAATTCAATCAATTTAAAGATCAATTTGAATGAGTTGACATTATATCTGTATGTCCCTTGGAATTTGACAAGATACCTTGCGTAACAAAAATGCCATCTACTTTTACCTGGTACAATATCAGCTAATGTACATATCACAATTTGAACTTTGAATAAATAACCTGATTTTTCTTGCATTTCTGGGTTTACTTGACACTTGTATCTCTTTGTTTTCCCTTCAACATTCATTTTTGTTTTGATTCTGTTTTGCTTTTGCAAGGGCATTATACCTACTTGTAGCTTCCTTAATATGTAAACAGATCTGATATATTATGGTTACCAAATAACCTAGATAATGTATTTCAAATTTCTTTTGCAATAGTACTTTTCCAGAAATCTGATTTGTTGCCCAATATCTTCTCATTAAAGTCCCAGAAAATGTCCAAATTTTACAATATTTTTTTTTGCTCATAATTCTGTGTCATGCCTTTTTCTAAAACTTTGAGATGAAAACTTTATTTCATGATAATCCTAACAGTTTTTATGTCACCACCATATAATTGGTGACATATTTGACCATTTGGCATCTGTAACAAATGGTAGGTGGTGACATTTTGCATGTTAATACCTTGTTAAGGTTTTATATCTGGCAATAGTTTTGGAAAATGTCAATGTCCCGTTTCCACCCTCTTTTCCCTCTCATTTATTTAACTCAACAGAGTTGGCATTTCAAGTCCAAAAATGATGGCCCCATTATACAGTACAGTTGACTAATGTCTATTTTACATTTTATGTATGATATATAATGTACAAATGTTAAACCAGTATATTCCTTCGTCATATAAAAATCTGATGGATCAAGATAATAATACTGTACAAATGTTGATTTTTCCCCTAATGCACTTTAAAAGGGAATTGAAATAAGTATTTTTTTATAAAAATCATAATGAGTGTGAAAAAGTCAAATTATTTATAAACAAAAGCAACAGGCAGTATTCTCATTTTAAATAATATATAGAAATGCAACAATGTAACACACTTCATATAGATTTTTAACTAAAGGCTCCAGTAACTGCTAAATCAACCTCTCTAGCATGGATGCATGGTGAGGTGTCAAACGTCATCTTGACTGATTTCTTCATTCATATATTTGCCTAACATACACAAGTTGTAAATCTTTAATGACGTCCCATTGATATGATCGGATAACATGGCTTTTTCTGAGATATTTTAGATTTAGGTTGCACGTGTTTTTGTATGTTCGAGTCCAAGTGTGCCAACATGCCTTAATTGTGTGTATGTGTTTTGTTTGAGGAGCCGCTTGAAGCATTCTTTTATAATTCTGATTTGTTTTTTGTTTTGTTTTTAATTGTGGATGTACCATTACTCATCTAAAGTACAAACTTTTTGTTCTTATTGTTCTTATTTGAGTCCAGTTTGTATAGCTATAGTCACCATTTTTGGCTATGGGATTGGATAGGGGTCTGTCCTGTTATCTATTCATCTGATTTTAATGTCAAAAAGCGAGAATTATTAAGAGTATGCTAGTAGAACCTTTTGTGTAATATACCTGGTGTCGTATTTGAGAAATTCATGAGTTTGGAAATCTACATTAAAAATCCTCGTCATATCATATTCATTTGAAGTTATTTCCAAGTGAGACTGCTAACATAAGCAGATAAATTAAGCTAAATTGAAGAAGATATGTAAACATTACAAAATACAACCACCTGAAAGGTTGTTATGGTAATCAGTGTTACAATTTGTTACAGAACATTGCTGAACATTGAGCACTGAACATAGAATTGTGGAACTCAGTTACAAATATGCAAACATCACAAACACCTGTAATTCCATAAAATTGATTGGTACAGTTATCAAGTTGGATTTCATTGTTTTCATACATAGTAAATGCCTTATGATAGCGAAACTGTCAAAATGGATGCAGTAGAATTTTTCTTGACCAAAATGTTGATGAATTTCTTGAAAATAATGAGAATGAGAATTACAAACATGGATATGGGTGCCCTAAAATCCTCACTTTTACTTTATTTTACAGTATAACAAAACCAAGTTAAGTTCATTAAAATATCTGTCGAAACTCACAAAACAATTTCTCTTGAAAATTTTCAGCATTAGTGCAAATGTAAAAGTGTGTGAATAAAGTATAAACATTCATTTCTAAAAATCCATAAATCAGACAATCGTAAAATAAGACCTGATAATGCTTGTCAAAGGGATGCGCTCCCCAGAGTTATTTATGCATCTCGGGACGAGCTTGGCGTATGTGCTTCATACGGTCTAACGACTTTGTATTCCTCACCAACGTTTAAAATTGAAATGACATTATAATTACTGGTGGAGAATTGCCAGCACGTGTCCAACCAAGTTTACACAGAGTTAACATCCCCTCTTAGTATACCAACAAACATAAATCCAACATTTACTGTCAAATTCTCAATAGACTATAGATTTATGATTAATTCTTTGAAGTTTTTTCGGTTTAGTTTCACATAAAGGAAATCTACCCTTATTGAAAGTGAAATAAAACTAATGATTTGTCTTTAACCAGCACATTTTGATTGTCATTTTTTTTTCAATTTTCCAAGTCGTGATTTATATCTTTTTGTAATTGTTGTCATTAAAATGCAGGTAAACTGACACCATGCCCTGAATAAAACCATCAATCTAGTTCCGCTTATTTCACTCTATTTTTCTCTAAATTGCAAAATAAATTACAGTTTTCTCGCATATCTATTTAACTAATAGCGTAGTTGAAGATGTTTTATTGATTAACCATGCAGATTTCACCAATATCTCCCTCATTTTGCATTTTAAAGTATGACCCTCATGGCATTTCATTTATAGATAAAGATACATCTATCTTTGTATATCTAAATAGTAGTACACACAGGGTTTCAAAAACCATGGAGGTCAGATGTCTTGTTTTTCGATAGAATATTCTATCAAACAGGGGGGGATTCATAATGGATGGGAGGTGGGTATGATGATCTCCTATAATACAAGATTTACATGGTATGGTATGTTTCTTTAGTGCATGAGGAGGGTGTATGAATGTTATTCCAAATATGTATTTCAAAAAAATCCTGTCTCAACAAATAATAAAGCCTTTTAAGATTGAAAATGCAGTAATACCTGGGATGAGCTGTGAGTTTTGGATTGTCAAAACGTCCTGAAGGGAATGATTGATAAAAAAGAAAATTGATATTAATTATGAAATTGCAACAATTTTTTGAAAATCATGGAAAGAAATCCGTTCTTTTGTATCCTACATGATGTACCCTTGTTATCTTCGCTCAAAGGGTGTTGATGAAACCCTCAAAATCAATCTATTGGGAAGGTATTCCTACAAAATAAAGTGAAACTGGTGTTTAAGTCTTTTGATTTGACTTGATATATATTATATTTTATCATATTTAGCTAAAGATATTTGCAACCGTTCAGTCAACCTGTGAAGTAGATAATATTTTAAGAATAAGAAGAGTGTGCATTAATTATAAAAGTCAGCCAAGTAAATGCAGAATTACTTTTGATCTTCTAGTAAATTGTTATGAGGTTTCCCATATTTTATTCAACTAAGGGAAATTTGTCATGATCGTTAGAAAATGTTTTTTATGTTAATAACAACTTAACAGCTCAATGCTGTGCCCATATTGAAATCTCTGAGGTTCAGCATTTCCCCTAATATACCTCCCAATGTGCTATAATACTAGAAAATCTTGAATTGTTGCAGTAAAAATAAGAAAATCCTAAAATATTACATTATAAAATAAGAAAATTCTAAAATGTTACAGTGAAAAACAAGAAAATCTTAAAATGTAACTTGGGAGAATAAGAAAATCTTGAAATGTTACATTGAAAAATGAGAAAATGTTAAAATGTTGCACGGAAAATTAAGAGAATCCTGAAATGTCGGATAGAAATATATGAACTGGGAAAGTAAGGGAAGATTTCACATGGAATAAACTGGGAAAGCAAGCTCGTCTAAAGAACGTGCCACTGTTAAAAAGCGCTTGTCTAATAATGATAATATTATATCAATCTGTATAGCAATAATTTTCTATTTTCAGTTTCTTATGACACTGCCAAGTTGGTTTCCTTCCCAGGGTACAATGTCCCTCTGCCACAAGGACAATTGGATGTGAGTATCTAGCTTTATTAGCTCATTAGATCACAAAGTTGTGACATATTGCCATAGCCATCATTTTTATGACCAGAATTTGCCATTGGGTTTGTTCCATTTGTGACTGGTATTCTGTGTCAATACAATAGTAACACTTTTGTAATGTCCTATTCACTGGTTATTTTTTTGAGTTGGGTGATCTATAATTATATCATTGTGAATTGAAAGTATTTAGTATTATTAGGATGAGAAATACACGTAATAGCCCTTCAAACATAGAATCTAGTTATCATGTCCTCATGTATCATTTTACACATGATCTTGAATATACCTCTTTGCAGATGTATGATCATTTGTTTACCTCTATTATTTGACTATTATTGAATCGTATTATTGAAAAGTCATAAATAAAATAAAATAAAGTATCTCTATTGCCACCGTGTTGTTGATTAATTAATACATGCATTAAACATGTACATCTGTATACATGAGTAAATGATATGGAACAGGATCTCAGCAAGAAACACTCATAAACATATCTATTTTCTATATACTAGGAACATATGAAGTTCCACATGCCCCCAATGAGCCAACAACAATCAAAAGATGTCCTCGCTCTCTATCTTGCTCCAAAAGGAGGCCCTACTAAGCCGAGGCCCGTTGTAAATCGAAAGCGTAAACGTCCAGTCAAAGATGGAGCCTCTTTGGGTACACTGGAAGAAATGGATGTAGATACAGATACTACAGGTTTGTGAATTACGAATTTAAAAATGTGACATCTTCCAGAATGCCAGGTTACAGATTTTATCTTCTCACCAAATTTTATCCTTTGATCTTCCCTTTTTTCCTTTGGACACATGTTCAATAATACCATGGCCTTCACTTGTTTGTTGATATGAAATAGCTGAATGCAGGAAGCAAAAGAAGAGACATACTGTAGGTGAATGATGTGTGGAACCCTGTCTTTCGTAAAAATGAATTAAGGATATTGCATGAATTCACTTGCAAAACAGTCCATTTATGCTTAAATTAACATTAACATCTATGTAAGTGGTGTGTGTATTGCAATACGCCTAACACCCCAATCACATTTGTCGCACGGCAGCCGCAAGTCGACCGCATAACAATTAAATCGGTGAATTTCTGCGGCGAGCGTAGAAAAACTACGCTCGCCTTGCGGCCTCCGTACGGCATATGCAGATTTTTACAGGTCGAAGGGAAGGCGTATAAATTATAACTCGGAGTTATAATATTTGTTCATTTCTGAGGTCCCCGTAGAAATCAACTGGCTCAACAAGATTGAATCATTATTTGTCAATGTTTCACGATCACTTTTCATTTGATATTACATCCTAGCACTTTGAATAACATTTATAAATTGTCCTGATGTAAATAAAATGAAAAAACTATTATTTATCAATATAAATTTAAAATTCACCGTGTGGCTGCCGTGGGAAATGTGACTACAAAAGTATGAGAGCGCAGAAATTCTGCGGCGAGCGTAGAAAAGCTACTGGCCGCAGAAATGATAGACCGCAAGGTCGCCGTAGGAAATGTGACTGGGGTGTAAAAGAAGGGGAATTATATGTGGGTCATAGATGGATACTTCAGTCTTGAAAAGTTCTGATTATTCACGAAAAATTTATTTTTTATTTAATTGGTAATTAATTTGCAAAAAGTCATCCTGTTCCATTTTCTTTTGTGCAAGTCCTTACCTTCTTATCTGTACATCTGAGTGACGATGTTCAACCAAGAAAACTATTTTCTAAAATCTTTGTCTGTTTACTTTTTATCCATTAAAATGTCCAGGAATAATAATCCTTGGTTATTGGTGATTTATTATCAGACATGAACGTGATTACATCCACCTTTTTATTACATTTCATTACAGCCTAAGTCTTTTTCTTTAAAACACAGGAATGGGGTACTTGTCTTTAACATTCTAACATCAGTCTGTGCAATTTAGTGATTGTACTTTTTATAAGTCCTTGTCTTTTCTTGGTACCTTCCCTATTTTTCATTCTAATTTTTGTTTTGAATCAAAACAATTATATTTCATTCACAGGAATTAGTTAGCGCGAAGAATTAAGATCAATTAGTTTGTTATGAAAATGATGTTTTTTTGATCTGCCATTATCTCTGTTACATATCTTCTAATTGAAAACTTTTGTTAAGACCACTAATTGGATAATTATTGTCTCCCTAGTAAAAATATATTTTATACAGGGTAACCCAATTTTGTAGGGTCTGCTATTTTAAAATTTCATATGGTGAAAGATCTGCGTTAAGAGAGAAGGCATGTTATGTAAACATAATCGTTTCATGACAAAAAGGAATTTTAAGAATTTTATGTGGATTTCAAAAGAGTTTTTCATGGATTTGACCCACCCTGAATAATCCACTTTTAAAGAAATTGAAATATTTTCTCACCCTTCACTTGAATTTCAATTGAAAGTAAACATTTTCACTGAGGAAAATATTTGTATGTCCCCACAACTGTTGGTATTTTGGACATCATCCAATATTAAAAATGCTTTAACAAGAAAAATGATGTGATTCTCTTACCTACTGTCCTGTTGAGAATAGATTATTGAGACAACCCCCAAAGACTGAGCTGCACTTAAAGAAAACATGGACGAATAGACAACCAGAGAAAAAAACAAAATGTGAAACACTTGTTCGATATAATTTCTGATCAATTTAAGTATTACGTCTGACAATAGAGACTGTTATTTATTCCTGATTACTGCGCAATTGTCTTTCTATTGATTTTTTCTTATGTGTCTTGTCTTTAAAGAAAATTTTGATTGCGGAATTAATAATTAATGTGGTTATAGTGAAGAATTATTCAAGTGTGTGAGCGCAGAATTGAGCAGATAAAAACATTACGTTAGTTTTTTCTCCCTGCCAAATAAGGATCAAAATACTATGCACTGGTTTAAAACAAGACAGTGAAAATAATAATCTTTGCGGTTTAAATCAAGAAATGTGAAATTTTTAGACCAAATGGAAATAAATAGATCAGTCAAAGACCATTTGTACTTTATGTAGGGGTTATAATCCATGTTGTTAAATCAGTAGTAGATCTTTATCTTCAAGCAACATCTTTTTGTTTTTTCATTTTCTATTTATAAAATTACTTTGATATTGTGAATTTATTTGGGCAAATAATATTGTTTTATGAAATGATGTGTAAGTACACTGTTGCATTATGTCGGGCAGAGAGACATTACTATAAGGTGGGCCATAAAAATGGGGCACAGCATTATTTTTGGACACATTCAAGATCACTTAGATGAACTGTGTGTAACAACTCAAAAGATGGGCAATTAAATGGGCTTTAATAAGGTGTTTCATGTCACATTGTAGTAACACTTTTTAACATGATCATGAAATGATATTTTCAGGAATATTCCTTTTTTATTAGGTATTTTAAATCAGATGACATAAGACTGATTTTCTAATACATGGCTCATCTTCTTATATTTTATATGTTGCTATCTGTGTACCTTTGGTGTCATTGGTTGGATAGCTTACAGACAGGAAATAGCAATTGCAATGGCAGTAAAACCTGTAAAGTGAAACACCTCTATACATATTAGCACACCTGCATAAGAAGAACACTTTTTAAAGTCCCCCTTACCCAATGGATAAGAAAATAAATCTATGTAAGTGGAACACCTCCACAAGTAGAACACTTCAGAGTCACTGTGCCCTCTAACTTAATTAAAAGTGAACTGTAAGTAGAAAACCTCCAAAGTCGTAAACTATTTTGACATTATTAAAGTGTTCCCCTTGTAAAGGTTTTATTGTATATTATTATATTCTTTACATTATTAAGCAATGTTAAAAACTTGAATGGCTCTATAACAAGTGCTATAACAAGAACTATATTAGCCACAAGTGCTTCTGGTGTATAATAGCCACATAAGTATCTTGTTCATCATAAATGAAAAAAGACTGACAATAAAGAGAAATTGATTATGTTCTTCTATTCAATCCAATGTTCTGTAATAAAACCTGTATGGAAAATAGTTTGTTATGATACAATTCAATTTTAATGAGGTTAATATATACTGTAGCATTGTTTAAATGCAGCTTCATTGAATGATGTTTCTTAAGATGAGCTTCTTCATAACCAGTATTAGACAATGTGCCTCAGGGTTGAAGTAGATTGATAACAACTCCTAAGTTCATCAAATAGAGACATTATACGGGAATATATTACATATATCCTCCTGCAATTATAAATGAAAGTAGTTGTCTTTGGTCTTAAGAAGTCTAAAGGTAGATGGCCTTATAGATAAACTATTAGAGCTAACAATTGTTCTTCAATTTACAGCATTTGTTCATGTGGAAAATTTAAAGTACAAAATTGTATTCTTGGCAGTATCAGTGATGGATGAATTGATTGGCTAAATGAATGGAATTAATAATGCATGCAATAAAAGTGGCTTACTTGTCAGAAAATATTGGCTTGAATTTGAGTAATTTAACTTGCATGTGGTTCTTAATAACACTGATTTTTTATACAACAATGTTTAAAATTTATTATTAATAGAATATTACAGTATATGGAAATGTTCTAAAAGCGAATTACATATGAATGTAATGGGTTTTGACTATTCAAGGGTTGGTTATTCAAGATAATTGAAATTATTTTACTGCATGGGGTGATATCCTGGGGCTATTTAGAGAAGAATGGGGTTTAACTCAGGTTAATTTATTCTGCAATTAAACATGTTAAAGGGACATGCTTTTTCACGACAACCCCATTCAGAATTTTGATTTCAATGTCTTTAAAAAGAGTTTCCTCTCTTCACCATTTCTATAAAATCCCCTTTCTAAAATATCCAATAGCATATTAGGAAAGCATAGAATCAGAATTTATTTAAAGATTTCTTTCAATATTTGCTGTCATTTTATTTGAAACACAACTACCAAAATATGGTTATATTCATTCATATTACATGTATTTCTGTATTTTCTAGAGACATAGTATTTCATACCATGATAAGGAGTTATTTAAATGCATACGTGTCTCAAGTTTCTGCTTCCCCTCCCTCCCCACTGTACTAAGAATGTTTTTCAATTCACATTTTGAAAAATCTGTGTAATTAACAAGGGTGAATGAATGGGTATTTTATAGGAGTTAATGAAATGGGAGGTGTATAAAATTAACCGCTTCACTTTTGAGCCTTTACTTTACCACTCCTGTTATGGCATTGAATAACATCTTAACCTCTTGACTACCTGGATTTTCACAAAAATTGCTCTGATTTGAACAATTTTATCCAATTTACACAAACATTGTTTTAAAATGTGTAGAAATGATCTCCGTTATCTAATTTTACTAAGTTGAACATCTAAAATTATATAGGTATGTAGTAAAATGTCAAAATGTGGCAAAAATGAAAAAATTCTCTGGTTTCAACTGATTTTATAGGCTGGGATTCAAGAGATTAAACAAAAAAATAAACCAGACTTGCCTCCAAAAGTGCAAACAAGGCTCTTTTAGAATGAAGCAAGGATATTTATTCAAAAATTAATTACTTGTGTACTTTTAGGTACAGAATCTGACCTGGAGGGACCCTCCCCAGCTAAACTAAAGAAACTTCCCAGAAATCCTAGTGAACTGTCATCACGTTCTTCGAGTCCAAATGCAGAAGAACTTGAGGAGCAGCGTCAATTACTTTTAGCGCAACTTCAGGATGCAGAGTCTGACTCCAAAGGTATTGAACTTGTAGTGAAGGACTCTGTGGGTGATGATTCCTTCATACCTCCGCTACCCCCTACCCCCACAGCGCCCCCTCTCCCTTCTGACTCTGAGCCAGAATCAGATACAGGCACGCCAGTGAGATTTAGATCAAAATCAGGCATGAGAACGCCCCAGGGACAAAACACCCAGAATTCATTCTCAAGCACACCAAGTTCATCTATATCAGTAGATTTTGGTACGCCAATTGAAAAAGAGCAATTGGAAAAATTGTTACCAGATTCGGACAATTGGAAGGTTGGAATTATAGATCATATTCCGTATGAGAATCTTCCAAATGCAACTGGAACGTTCCAGAAGATGAGAGGGCTTTTAGAAAAAGTTCGAGAAACTGTAAAGGAAATTGAAGACAGTAATGAATAATTTAAAGACTACGTCTCGTTCCAATACGGAATTTCTCGAACAGATATATCCTGTATTGCACTTCAAACCATTCAATAACTTATAATATGTCTGTTATATGTTTTGGATGGCATTCTTTGCAAGACAGAGGTGTTAAATTAAAATGGTAGACTTGCCCTTAGTTCAAGTTATGCTGTTTTTTGTAATTGTAAGTGCATGTAGTGTTTTAGCTGGAAGAATGTCTTGTCTGTCTATTAAAATATTCAGGGTGTCCATAGTCTCTCAATAGAAATTTGTAACGATATTTCATGGACACCCTGTATGTCCAAGTCATACAGTAAGGTGTTCAAAATGTTTGATCCTGTTGAATCAAGATCAACATTATTGTCGTATGATCTGTAAAATGAAGCCCTCCGATTGGTCAGTTCTTGTGCTGTACCAATCTGTATTGCTACTGAGGTTGTCCCCATTGATCATCTCCATTGCAATACAGAAAATATTGGTACGGAGGGGATAATCTCAGTAGCAATACAGAGATCACACGATAAAAATGTTATTGAATGATTTGAAGTGCAATACAGGATATATTCTGTCGCAATATTCTGTATTGGCACTCGACTATGTCTTGTTCCAATACGGAATTTCTCGGACAGAATATATCCTGTATTGCACTTCAAATCATTCAATAACTTATAATATGTCTGTTATAAGTTTTGCCGAAATGGAATTTTCTATTGTGGTACTGATTAAAATAGGTTTGAAAAAATGTATAAAATCAAAAAGTAAAAATAAATATGTACAATTCAGGTGATTTTCATTTATTTATTTTTAATTGCATTAATTATGGAAAAGTTTTTGTATTATTTGTTTCTTTCAAAAAATGAAAAAAGTAGAATACAATATAATATAATATACTGCCTACTCTTGTTTTAGCTCAGAAATTGGCAGTAATTAAATAATGTTACATGTTTTTTATCAAACAATTCATACAATGTCTTTCTTAGTGTCTAAAATTAAGTAAAAATGAACGATTCCGATATGATGAATGAATAATATCTAGATATTGTGTAAAACTTCAGAATGAACTAGCAAATGAATATAACTGATATTTCTTTGTTGATGTTAATAACCAAAAGAAAAGCTTTGATTCTAATGTAATTTATGGCAAATATGTGACTTCATGGTGTTGATATCTTTGGTCATATGGTGCCGTAAACTATACAATCTCAATAAAAATGTAGTTCATGTTTTTTTAACAATTCTCATGAGATATGTACATGTATGTTTTTCCATATTTATCAAAATAATAAACGTTTTTGAAACATACTTTTATGAATTGTTATACATCATTACATGTATGTCACCACCAAAGTCAGTTTTGGAGCATCAACGCTATAACAACAGTGTCAGTGTTCCCATGGAGTTAGATGGTAGAGCAGTTTTCACCTTGCATAGGCCCTTGATGCAATCTTTGGTTTAGACGTAACAAGACTGATGTTATTTTAAGAAATTCACAGTATGAATCTGTACAGAGAAAAAGTTCTTCTGAATATGATATTTTCAATCAGAAATATATGTTTGTGTCCATGAGGTTCATTGTCTTCAGCTAATACATGTGCATGTATGTGTCACATATTGAATGACATACCTAGTGAAGCATTTGTATGGAAGTTAATGGGACAGTTTGAGGGCTATATCCACTGACCTGATTACCCCACTATAGCACACTACCTCATTTTGATATTAGATTTCCTTAATAACCATGACAATATCACAACGATTAAAATGCCATCTTTTTTTAATCAAAAAATAAATATTAGATTTTACCAGTTGTTAGAAGACTAATTGCTTCTCAGGATGCGCTCAAAGTGTAGTACGCCATTTTAAATCAATTGGGACAAAATTCTTGTAATGTCTTCATTCTGTAATATTGCATTTTCATACGTTATGTTATTTCATTGTTGTTAGAAGACCAATTCATCCTAGTTAGAAGACATTTAACATGAAAATGTATGTAATATTGTTCGACCCCCACCACCTTACCCAGACAGGCCAAAAAGCGTGATAAATTTTTATCACTTGACCAATGGGCTATCTTTGACATGTTGGTGGCGTGATTGTGGGCATCCCATCCCACTTTTTAGTCATTGTGATTTAAGGAACACTGCCAATTAGATCTTCTTCATATTCGTAAACATGCTAGAGCATACCAAATGTTAGAGCTGATTAACTTTTGGGTGGCCATCTTGTTTTCTGGTGGCAATTTTGAAAGTATTTCAATAAATTTTGTCATCATGGTCTTGTCATCTAGATTCCAGGGAATCACATGCATTGAATCCCTTAAAATTTGTAGTTTGAAAAACCACCAAAGGCGGAGACGTATTGTTATAGCCTCCAAACAGGTGGTGACATGTTCTTTGAGTTAGGAGGCGGATGCATCTACAGTATATGAAACACCCTATATATCTTTAAACGAGAAGTTTTAAAAAATTTTGATCAAAATCAAGAAAATACGTATACACCCATGTCTTCTTACTTTATTTCACCTCTTTCAAAGACTGCTCATTGGTCTGCTAGAACTTCAGATCAGTTAGCCTTTTGAAGATGTTGACTTCTGTCAAGGATGGCATTTCTTTCAAAGTCTCAAATTTTGTGCACCAAAATATTGTTCTAGAACATTGGAACAGTTGCTAATAGTGATTAATTCTGACTCCATGAAGTTTAGCGATTCCATAAAATCTATGCAAAGTGAATCTATAGATATCATAATCAGTTTTCAAAATAACATTCTTGATATAATCAATGACCTTAGGATTACTAGGTCGGACTTTATGAATACCAATTGTTTTGTTATGAATTTTGAGGGTTGCGAGAATCTTCCTGACATCATGAAATAATTTAGGATAAATCCGGGCAAGTAGATCCAAAGATGCTTCATAATATTCCAAAAAGCCTATAAATCCGTAGAATGACTCAATGTGTCTTTTAGCCGTCTGCACATTGCATTCATTCTTTGGCACATCATGTCCACAAAACCAGATTGAGTAACTTGTAGATTTCAATGAGCATGTGTTTGACTGGTTATTGAGTAGCTTTTGGTAACATTCCTCCATTGTTATTCTACAGTCGTCATCAGTTCTGTTGAATACATCGCGGTAAGCCGGTGATCTTGAATAATAAAAGGAGGAAATCAATCTCTCGTACGGTTCACGGAGAATGTTAATGTGTGTTGGTAAAGGCCCCGTCCAATTGTACTGTGAAAAATCAATGAATGAAGTCTGCCTGACATATATACATGATACATTAGGTTTTGCTAAGTGTTGGACAGTGTCCACTAGATCCTGTCTTCCTGTGTGTGTTTTCAGTGCTTTGTCAAAGTGAATATGCTGGCGTAAAAATGTGAAATTATTTTGTTTTGAAAGTTGTCCTAACAACTTTACCGTTGTTTCACCACCACATTTAGCCATTTTGTTGTATATAATCACGCCATTGCTGAAAGTCAAATCAGATAATCTGGATGGTAATTTTGAATTGACATCATTTGTTTTCATATTTAGTGTTGTTTGTGGGTTATTCCTTGGTGGTTCTGGTGTTTTTATCTCGGAGTTTGAAAATTTGTTCATTTGCATATTAAGATCACTATTTAGGATAGTATTGTTATCATCTAAAGATTGCTTTGAATGCCTTTTATCCTTTTTGGTAAAATGTTTCATGGACAACGCGTGAAATAACCACATAACCATACCTGTCCATATAATTGCTGCAATGGTCTTTGCCTGGAAATTCATACTTCAATGAGTGAAAATATCCTATTGTAACATTGTAACTTCTCTATTTCATCTTTTGATTTTGCAAGTTTACTTAACAGTTCACAATCATAATTCATTTGTCAGCCTATGGTAAAGAAAAGCTATTACGCTAATGATTATCACCCGCTTAAATCATGTCATTTGAACAACTCTTACATTATCTTACAAAATGACAAATGAGGATTTCTGATTTTAAATGTTTTCATTTCCATGAAATTATAGCTTTGAAATGCTGGTCAAAATAAAAAGCATACTACATGTACTAGTATACTGGAACTGTTAAATATATGCTCCCAATTTTGTTGGTGAATGGCTAAATCATACAAAAGGTTCAATTGTTTCTGCAATTGTCTCAAGCAATTTTTTCATTGTATAAAATAGGAACATTAGGGAGGTTAATGCTACACATTTTTGAAAAACTTGTATGTGAAAGTGCAGAATTCCAGTCATCTAGGGTAAAGTGGTCCTTTTTGGAGTATTCACTTGCTTGATTGTCTGAACCCCTGCAAGGCATGTTTTCAGAGGATAGATTTACCAGAAAATTCTAGACACCAATGTCTGTATGTATTGAGATGCGAGCACAACTATATTGTCCTATATTTTGACAAATAAGTATATTACTGTATGTAGATTACAGTCTGGCTGGCAAACAGCCCTGAGAAGTTCCGATTGAAGTTAGAATTGCCATGACTCCTCTTTACAATACATTTACAATGATCAAGTTTGAAAAGCAATCACTACCTTTCAAACGGTCAACTTAATCATACAAAACTACGTTGTAATTTTTTATGAGATTTTCTTTTTTCTAAAACATATGGATGCATTCTGTGAAATATACAATCTACATTTATTTATCAAATGTTGTGTTTCAGATTTCATTCATGTTGAGTTACAATAACAAACAAAAGCTGTGGTGAACTAGGCCTAAGTGAATGATTTGGTGATAAATGAATGGCAATATTTAAATGGCACAAAATCACAAAAATTGAATGATTTAGTGCTTGGTTAGTAGTACCATACAATCTCAATATGATTTCACTTAGCACCAAATCATATTTGAACGATACTTAAAAATCCACACACGCCAGGCTTCTACCATAATTCAATTAAAATACCAGTTGCCCTATAACCAATGGCAATCTCTTTATAATCTTGACAATGCACCTGAAAAACTATTGCAAATGGAATCATTGACAATTAAATAAATCGAGGCAATTATGTTTCAGTCTTTGTCATATCATGAACCATATTTTCTGCAAAACAGTATTTAATACAACGAGCAAAAAAAACTAAATTCCATATTTTTACATCTATAGCACTGAAAAGCTAGCATGTGTGTAAAAGTAATACATACATATTTTTTGTTATGAGAATCATCCTCATAAATACCCTAGCACCCATACATCTAGAGGTCATTGACCTTCAACGTTTCAAATAAGAAAAAATGATACATCAATATTATACTTCTTTACAAATGTACATAGATTATATTCATCAGAATTGATGTTTTAATATCCACAGATTAATCAGTATATCAAAACAAAATGGTGAAAATGTGATTTGTACAGTAAATCTACATTTTCAAACTGCTATATTCTATTGACTAAATCATTTACCAAGTTTTGCTCAAACTCTTTAAATTTCCTTCCCCTATTTCTGGCTGTGTCCATATACACAGATGTTACTGTACAATAAATGATGAGATTTGTAGAATGAAGTGGCATGGAAGTTTAACACAATTATACAAAAAGCCTAACATGAACCTAAAGGTTGTTAAACACAGGAGGGCAGGGATAGGCCATTCCCAGGCAGGCATATAACCAAAAGAAAAGTGAGAGGTGCAATGGACCTTATTCATAAAAACTTTTCTAGACCCAATAGAAATAGCATCCTTGTTTGCTCTCTAAACCCAGAGATGTATAGATTCAATGATTTGAGAATGAAAACGAGACAGGTGCATCTCATGCAAGCATAATTTCACATGTGATACATTTTTTAAATTATCTCCCTAATACATTTAGCCTAATCCAAAGTAATCCAAAAATACAAGTAATTAACTTCCTAGATATTTGATGAAACTTCTTGGTATTCTTGAATTACTTTTTAGAGATATTTCTTACAAAAGTAAAATGAGTTACATTGCAGAGATGTATTAATGATGTAAAGCTATTTTAGATTCAGAACTTTGTTTAATTATACAATATACATGTACATGTATATTGTATAACACAAACTGTATAACAATTTAACTCCTACTGTTAAGTCAGTGGATAATTAAATCCTTCCATTTTGGGAAAATGCACATACTTATGTGATGTCACAACACTGTTGTATAAACATGTGCAAAGGAATAAGTGCTTTCATAGAGGTATATTATTCATTTAAAGAAGTCGCAGTTAATAACGTAACTTGCATTACCAGCACAGATCACATGGATATTTTGTCTTGAAAGCTTGCTTACTATGTTTCATAGCTTTTGGAATTGTGCAGTTGTCAGAAAATCAAAAATATGAGCAAAAAGTTTGGAATGAGGTGACATCTATACATCTTTACACTGTAACTCACGTACAACACATCCATTAAGGTAGGCAGAATATAACAAAAATTCTGGCTATTAACTCATTATGTAGAATTCCATACTGACATCATTACCACTCATGCCACCTTAATACAAAACCATATGTGTGATATCAGGGTGATATCTTAAATATATCAACATTAATTAAGGTAGGCCAAGTAGAACAACGATAAATGTGTCCAAGTTGAAGTTTTAGATCTTGAATCATGCACAAATAGGTCCAAGACTTATTCCACTTGGCCTAGCTTAATCCAAAATCCTATGTCTTGATTACTGTCTATACAACACGTCGCACTTCAAAGAATCGTTTTAGATAATAAATCTGTCCTAGGGTCATGGCGACTAGCACAAGGGCCTCAAAGAATGACCACAACACTACTCTTGAATTGGTATTGTCGTTAACTGAAAATACAAATAAAATCATCTTAAAATAATTTTGAGTCAATGCATTCTCTACAAACCATGGTGACACCATGTAGCTTAAATAAAGTAAAACCCTTATATCTGAACACCTGGTTAATCCGAACACCTCCCAATATGAACATTTTTTCCAGTCCCTTTTATTTCTCACATTGACTACCATGTTAAAGAACCACTGGAATGTGAACACCTCCCAATTTGAACAGTGCATGGTCATATTGAAAAAATTAACCTATCAAATATGACCATTTCCCACAAAAGATCACACAATTTAGACAAAAAAAAAATCAAATATTTTCTATAATCACTGTTTAAGGAATAAATAATGCTGACCATTCAATATGGTGAAATTCAGCATAAGTTGGACAGAATGATGTACAAAGCATCAACCAAAGGTGAGTACATTTGTACAGGTGCATTCTGATTGGTTAGAGAACCGTCATGTTTGAATTTATTATGACACATGAGAAAACATTGAATGGTCTCAATCGCAACTTTCTAACATGACTTATAAATCCATTTGAATCAGATTTTCGAATCATTGCAATGTATTTAGCTATTTGGTCAATAAAAGTATAAATATGTATTGATAATGTGCTCACAGTTGTTCACAATCTTGAATCTCACAAATATAATAACTTTGAAATGTGAACACCTCCTCATGAATGCTTTTATTCAGTCCCAATGACATTCTGAGAAGACAGGTTTTACTGTGTACACATGAAAAAAGCATAAGATCTTGAATACATCTAAAATAAAATTAGTTTTCTATGTAGTAAATGTAAAGGAATTTCATTCTCAATAAAGTGAATGAATACAAAAATCAAATAATATAAGTTTACCATGGAAATGATTGCAAATGATGATTCCTCAAAACAGGAACAGGCATTTGGTTGCCAGTTCCTAATGAAAGCCCTGATCTTTCTAGATTGACTTACTTGCTCTATGTATTCTCTCTCTGACCTCCATGTATTCTTGCTCATGTTTCACACCAGTCAGTGATGTTGATAGCTCATTCACCATGTCCTCTAGTTTATTATGGTGCTCTGAAAATAATAAACAATATTTGTTATGATCTCATAGTTTTCCCCCAAGATTATTTCAAGTGGGTGCAAATTCTCATTTTAATAGGTCTGAATAAGCAGGTGAATCAAGCAGGTGCTGCACCCAACTGAGATTTAGAAAATAGATTTGTACTGACTTGAAAATGTTGAACAAAATTTGTGGGAAACCCCTTGAATCATATGAGAGTGTGTGTTGTCAATATTGTGCATTTAACAAAGATAAGACAAAATGCCATCTCATGCAACTAATTACATGTACTGTACTTACAAAAGTGTAACAATTTTTACAGACACATATGACCATATCACAAAGAAAGGTGGCTAGAACAACTTGATGTAAATACAGCTGATCACATACCATCTGTGTTCATATCTTTGGATTCTTTAGGCTTGTCACCAAGGTCCATTGAGAACATGACAATCTTAGGTGTCATAGTTGACATTTTATTACTGAAGCAGTACTTGTAAACACCATCCATATGTGCTGCAAATGTGTATTTTCCATTAGATTCTCTATCTCCTGAGTATATGCTCTTACCATCTGGTCCACTGATCTGAAAGAAAAGAAAGTATATTGTTCATTGTAGCAAAAGGAGCACGTAGGTTATTCCAAACAATTTCAAATTTATATCTTGGATTAAGACTATTTCCTGATGATGAAGACAGGTATATCTTTTCTGTTATCCGTATTAAATTGTCATTACAAGAATAAATACAACACTTAGAGGGCTATATTTGGTAGCATTTTGAAGATTAATGTCTTGTTTAGCATATCCCCAAAGCATCAAAGCCTTAAATTTGTGGGGTTATTTTGAGAAACAAATGTCCTAAATATAATAAAAAAACTCATAATAACCCCACATTCACACATCCTAGTTTTCTGCAAGAGAAAAATGCAAATTCTGCGCAGAAATTCTGCATGAAAAAGCCAAATTCTGCATGAAATCTAAAATTCTGCGCCAAATTCTGCACGGGAAAAAGTGAAAAGTCATGTTTTCCGCGAAATTCCATGCCATGACAAAAATTCTGCATAAAAAACGAAAATGCAAATTTCTGCGGTTTCTCTGCGGCGATGCGGAATCACGGAATACTAGTATGAGTGCACATTTATGGGGGTAACTTTATAGTGTACAAGAAAATAACATGTGCAGGTAAAGTGGGGGACAAAAATAAATCTCAACCCTCAAAATTTTTCAGCTTCATACCTACCAAATCGAACGAATGTTTTCATGAATCGCCATGTTTGTGATCCAAGCAGGATTGACTCCCAGGATGCAACATCAGGTAACCTTATTTACTCGTGACAGATTTCAAAATGGCGGAATGGCATTTTGAAAGCCGACATGTGTCATGTTGCATTCTGGGAGCAAATCCACATTGCGGCGTAATCGGGCTCCAAAATCACCTTAACATTTGAAGAGTCTGCATTAACATGTGAATTCCCCTTCAAATTTTTAAGTTCTTATTTGTTATTATAGACATGAATTACACGATACTGGACTTACTAGGACGGAGAAAATAGAGCACTGAATACGCTGAGGTAAGAATTTATTACATGTGCCACAGCATGTAATTTCCATAGCTTTTGTAATTCTTTATGTCCCCCACTATATAGCAATTTTTTACCAATATGTTATTTTCCAGCTGTACCTTAACATTTTACTGTAGATCTAATTGGAACAATTCCCAGAGAATCTCAAGAGATATTTCTTACTAGAGTCTCTAGCAAATTCTTGGCTAGAAGTGATTCCATCTGGAACACCGTGAACTATTGTAAAATCTTCAGCCTTCGTTCAATAAATTTATGTATAATATTCTAAAAATCGTTCTGTTAATATTTCATGAATTGAAATGGTAACGGCTTGTCTTGTTGATGAGATATTGAATGTTTTCATGTAAAATAGACGTCGTCTTGTTCTCCATTTTGAAAGCATGCCTTTTTTCCGAAATAGCGATTTAGTCAAGATGGCCGCTTGTTGTAAAATATTTCTTTCAGTTTTCTTTTGTGAATAAATATCCTGTGAAGTAGACGAATGTATGGACTGCTTGTAAAGATCAATAGGTGAGTTTATTATGTTTACATCAATAAGACAGCTGGGCAATTTAAAGGCAAATTCAAAACAACAAAGAGTGTCTTATTTATATTCTATGGCCACACTCAGTGGACATAGAATATGGTAAGATATCAGTTACAACAAATATTCTGCTTTCTTGGATTCAAAATAGACTTATTGAAAATATAAACACAAATTATTTACCTTCACGTCAATATCTAAGAATCCCCCTTCAGCAACTTCAAACATCAAACTCATTTTTGTTCCAGATGAAACTTTGTCGAAGAAACATTCCTCGGCGTGAGCATCTATATTGATAAAATAGCATTCTATTCCACTAAAACTAAATATTGAAACCAAAATGGTCACAATTTGACCGTAGATATTCATATTTGAGGCGATATTGTCCAAAATAACACAAAAGTGATTTTATTTCTCTGCCACGTAATGCCACGTACTGAATAGCGGCGCTGCAGATGATTGGTCAATTTTAGAATTGGGCCACGACGCGCCACAATTAGCACATGGGGATTCCCCTTGACGTGCTTAGGTCAGCAAAGTTGCACATTGACAGGTGAGGTCTGTTTTCATCATAAAATGCAGTACTACAAATGCTCAGAGATTGTCTTAAACTAGTCTTTAACTTTACTTGTACGCAAGGAGGATAACTAAGCTATAAAGTATCCCCATGGGGTTCATTTTTCAAATCAATTAGTCTAGTCTAGATCTAGGCTTACCTGTAAAGTGGGGAACAAAAATAAACCTCAACCACATGCTATCTATTGCAAGACTTACGCCTGCCACAACCGTCACCATGTTAATCAGTGTTTTTTAAGTAGCGCAAGGATCCTGCCATGACCGTGGTAGTGTTATCGTGTAAGCCTGGTATAACCGTGACAGGCTGGTATAACCGTGACAATGCTGTATTCTATTGCAAGGCCTGTCATGACCCTGGAAGTGTTATCGTGGAAGCCTGGCGCGACCGTAGCCTTTATTGTGGTTTATAAGCGAATGTGAATATTAATGTATAGTAGTAATTTTGATTTTGACATGATTAAGGTAGTTAAACACCATGATCATAGTATTAAACTGTTAAATTGTAATGAGGATCACTTAAAATTGTTAAGGATATTCCTGGCATTAATGTCATACATATTTAGTAGTCATTGCAATACATTATAACGGTCATAGTAGAACTAAGCCTAAATCTCTACACTACCACCCTCATACCTGGCCTTGCAGTACTATATTACATTGTTACGGTCATACCAGGCTTTGCGATCCCATAATACATTGTCATGGTCATGCCAGGTTTTCAAATACACATTGTCACGGTCAATTATAGCAATCATAAATTTCTACATTACCACTCTCATACCCGAACTTGGAACACTATATCACATTGCCATGGCGGTCATACCAAGCCTTGCAATACTATATTACATTGCCATGGTCATGCTTTGCAATACACATTGTCACGGTTATAGCAGTCCTAATCGTAAATTTCTACATTACCACTCTCATACCTGAACTTGCAATACTATATTACATTGTCACGGTCCCGCAGGCCTTGCAGTACTATATTACATTGTTACGGTCATACCAAGCCTTGCGGAACTATATTACATTGTCACGGTCATGGCAGGCATTGCAATATAATACAGCATTGTCGCGGTTATACCAGGCTTTCACGATAACATTACCACGGTCATGGCAGGATCCTTGCGCTACTTAAAAAACACTGAATAACATGGTGACGGTTACGCCAGGCGTTAGTCTTGCAACAGATAGGGTCTCACCTCAACCATCAAAAGTTGTCACAATATGAGCTAAATTCTAAGTTTCGTGTCTCAAACTCTCCCAAGCGGAAGAAAGATAATTCCTGTTCACTTTAAGTAGTGACAAGAAATGAATCCAAAGCTTCATACCTGCAAATGATGCCGGATAAATCCCTACCAAATTGAACGAATGTTTTCATGAATGGCCATGTTTGTGATCCAAGGAGGATTGACTCCCAGAATGCAACATCAGTTAACCTGATGAGGAATATGCCAGCTCCAAGATCTAGTTCTGAAGTTTAGAGTGAAATACTCTGGAATAATAGATTGATCCTAATTAATAACAAAGAGGTAATAAATAAGCATCTTATGGATAATGGGGTCATTTACGTAAATGACCTCCTAAACGACCAGGGACATTCTTTACAGTATTATGATTTTAAGGCAAAATACAACGTACAAATCAATTTTATTGATTATTATGCTATAATATCAGCTGTACCGAAGGAGTGGAAACGTTTATTGAAGCGAGACTTAACTTCTGTTTTTGAACCGAGCCTACAGACGGATCTTGTGCATTTAACACTTGACGGAAAACCAGTGTCATTGAATGGTTTAACAGTTAAGTCAATTCAAAAAATGATAAATAGAAACAAATATTTGGAACCACTGTATAAAAATGAGCATGATCGTGAGTTAGAAAGGACAGACTACTTTAAAATGGCTTATAGCTGCACGAAACAAAATAAAATTCGACAACTCCAATTTAAGATTCTTCATGGTATTTGTACCACGAATGCTTACTTAACGCAAATAGGAATTAAACAGGATGCTAAATGTAGTTACTGTCCACTAAGAGACACTTTAAAGCACAAGTTTTGGGAATGTAGGCGGGTTCAGATTTTCTTGAGAGCTATTAAAGAGAACTTAGAGAAATTATTTAATGTAAATCTTGATTTTAATGCCCATGATATGGTGTTTGGAAGATCTGTAAATAATGTAAACATTTTAATAAATAGGCTTTCACTAGCAATCAAATATTATATATATGCAAAAAAATTTAATGAGGTAAATCCAAACTTGGACGTGATTCAATTTGAAAAGAATATGCCGGTTTTTATACATACCAGAGCTTTTGGGTATGACTGTTGCGAATGTCTGAATGAATGGAGGTGGTGTGAAAGTGGTTTAATATTTCATCTTTGCCTTGTTAAATGTATTATTTATGTTTGATTCAATAAAAAAAAACAAAAAAAAAAACATCAGTTAACCTTATTTACTCGTGACAGGTTTCAAAATGGCGGAACAGAATTTTGAAAGCTGGCACGTGTCATGTTGCATTCTGGGAGCCAATCCTCCTTGCGGCGTAATCGGGCTCCAAAATCACCTCAACATTTGAAGAGTCTGCATAACATGTGAATATCCACTTCAACTTTTTAAGTTCTTATTTGTCATTATGGATATAAATTCCACTATATTTGGACTTACTAGGACAGAGAAAACAGAGCACTGCATACACTGAGGTAAGAATTACATGCGCAACAGCATGTAATTTTCATAGCTATAGTAATTCTTTATGTTCCCCACTGTAACTCCAAGTGCCGACAATATTGGCAAACTGAATCTAAAAAATAGGTTGACAAGCCCGACTGAAATATTTTTCAAAAATTCATTGCCATCTTGGTACCACCACAGTAGTATAGTAGGAACAAGGGGTTCCCATGCACCCATAAGGTGTGAATAAGTTACATACATTTTTGTAATCCCTAGGGTGTCTATTTAATGAATCCATTTGTTAACATTGCCAACTAATGTCCCATAGTACTTTTATGGCAGCATTCAGTTACCATGGTTACGCATCTTTAGACATCTTACATTGGTATCTTAAATCATTTGTAGCTCTGTCATTATTTGGTCTATAGAAATGATATTGGTACCAAATTAAACCTCGTTAAATTTCCAATAAATTTATGATATTCAATTATGCAAATTATCTAATTTGCATAAATTATGACATCATCAATCTATTTTTGGTTCAGAATTTCCAACTATAGCAACGTATCTATTAGAACTGAGGCCGTATGGCAAAATTTCTGAAAGGTTTTGTCCTTTATTCTATTAGTAGAAGGTATAAGCAACATAAAAGTGAAAACAGATTCAAAATTGAATCAGTATTATGAAAGTTATGTAACTTTCGAGGCAGCTATCGTGAATGTCATTATTTGACAATAATATACATACGTCTTACCTTGGCGTCTTGAATCAATGTAGCTTCATTATTATTTGGTCTATAGAGATGATATTGGTATCTGATTAAACCTTATTAAATTGTTACAATATTCAGTTATGCAAATTAGCTAATTTGCATTAATTGTGACATCATCAATCCAGTTTTGGTTCAGAATATCCTAGTATAGCAACATATCTATTAGAACTGAGGCCGTATGACAGAATGTGTGCATAGTTTTGTCCCTTATTTGATGAGTGGAAGATATAAGCAACATTAAAGAGACAACAAATCTTCAAAATTGGATCAGAATTAACAAAATTATCCAGCTTTGGAGGCAGCTACTGTGAACGTCATTGTTTGACAATTATAAAAAGAATATTAAATTAACAAAAAAGTAACAACCATAGTTGTTTCAATCTTATTGAGTAAAAATGTGCATGTATTGAACTGAACTAATAAGTATGTGGAAAGGCTACATGCATTTTGACTATCATTCACAGGGGTCAAAACGGTTATCTCGACCCTGTATATTAAAGATCAAATCTTATAATTTACCATGTACTTTCAATGATTCATATAAATAGTATACATATAGTCTGCTTTTCATCATATTCTTCATATTCTTGATTCTTAAAGCATCTGAAGTATATAGCATGATTAGAAGTGAAGATGATTCATCATATGGTTTATGTAATATTTTATTATTAATATTTATTATGTTTATATAATTTCTAACATTTCAGATGCTATGGTAACATCACTTGATAATGAGGTTTTTACATTTCACGTTCTTAATGAGTTAAAAGGAAGTTATTCTCCCTTTGCTTTAGAGATAAATAGTCGCATGAATTTGTTTAGAATAATTATAACTTAATTAATTTAACCCCCCACTGACAGCCCCATATTTGAAGATTTTGGTGAAACCTGGCAAAATACATTAATTATTAGATTCCAGAAGCCCCCAGAAGCTATATGATGGCCCCCAGTGGCCCCAAGAATCTATACAGGGGCCCCAAGTGGCCCCCAGAAGCTATACTGTGCTCCCCAGAAGCTATATGTTGGCCCCCAGAAGCTGAATAGTGGCCCCCAGGAGCTATACGGTAGCTCCAAGAAGCTATACAGGAAACCCTGTGGCCCCCAGGAGCTATACGGTGGCGCCCAGAAGCTATACAGGGGCCCCCAGTGGCCCCAAAAAGCTATACGGTGGCCCCCAGAAGCTATACGGGGGCCCCCAGAAGCTATATAATGGCCCCCAGAAGCTATACAAGGGCCCCCAGAAACTATACTATGGTCTCCAGAAGCTATATGGTGGCCCCCAGTGGCCCTCGGAAGCTATATGATGGCCTCCAGAAGCTAATTAGTGGCCCCCAGGAGCTATACGGTGGATCCCAGAAGCTACACAGGGGACCCCAGTAGCCCCAAGAAGCTAAACGATGGCCCCCAGAAGCTATACAGGAGCCCCAAAAAGCTACATGATGGCCCCCAAAATCTATATGATGGCCCCCAATGGCTCCCAGAAAATGTGAAGGGCCCCCAGTAGCCCCTAGAAGCTATACAGTGGCCCTC